TTGTTCAGACTGTTTATAATTGGTTCAAAAATAATTCATTAAAGAAAACTCTTTTGCTAAAATTATGCTGAGAGTGCGAGTATACTAAACCTCGTAATTGCATGTGTTAATAACTCTTTTTAAACAACTTTTTAATTTTCTTATGCATATTTTTTTTAAGAGATCACAAGTATTTTTTTTTAGAATAAATCATAATTATTTTACTAATATTTTGGCTTTCATACAAATTATTTTCTTATTTTCTAATATATCTATATCTCGTATGAAATAAATTTTCATAATTAAAAAAATAGATTAAATAATTATTTACGGGTTAAAATTAAAATAAAACTTTAAAAATCATATTTAGAACGATTTCTAATTGCTTGATAATAAAAGTATTTACACTAATTGTGTAGCAAAATTAACTCTTACTTTTATTGATTTTATTTTAATCCATTCTTAAACTTCATTTTGAGTAACTAAAAATAGAAATCATTCTCTAAAATTTTTAAATAATAAAATATATTTTATAATATAAAGAAAAAATATTTAACATTTAATTACTTAGAATCAAATCTATAAGCTGCTATCATCAAAGTCACGCGTATGTTTATTAGGTGATCATTTTATATTTTGTGTGAAATGTAAAGAAATTGTAACAATAAGTAAAATGAGAGAATCAATTTTTTTTTAATTTATTTATAGTAATTATAGTTTTATCTTAATATATTCATTATTTCAATAAAACGTTAATTTTTTAGTGCTCTAAAATCTGAATATGCAAAATTTTCATAACAATTTTATTCATAAAGTATTACTAAAAATAATAATAAAGTAAAAGGAAATTTTAATTAAATATCAATCTAATGAATTATACAAAAATAATATTTAATTATTATTTAATTTTTTATAAAAACAACAAAATAATGATATTTTAAAAGGTAATAACATAAATAAAAGTGCAAATGAATGGGAAAATACATAAAATTGAAAATGATATATATATTATAGTATTGGTGTGTGTTTAAACCTAATTCAGAATGTGAATCATTACCCTCTCTTCATATTTAACAGAAGTAATAAAAAATAATTTTTTCATCAATTAATGTGATTCTTTTTTAAATGTGAATTTGAGATATGCATCCAAACATGTGCATAATCAAAATTGTTAACGACACATTTACATATCTTTAACAAATTGTTGGTATTAAATTTTAATCTTATTTATAATATTATGTAAACTTATTCTGGTTATAAATCACATATAGCTTCACTATGTTCTCTTAGGAAGTAAAACTATAGTAAAATTATTATGAATGATAATTCTTTTTTAAATATTTATCATAATTATATAGACAAGATTTTAATTCAGGATCACGATGTTAATTTATAATAACTTTACATACGTTAGTCGCTTTCGTTTTAAAGAACTCAAAGTCTCAAAGAAATTTATCTCATAATAAAAATATTAAAAAATATGTCAAATAATGTTATGTGAAAACAATGATTTTAATAATTTATGTTTGGTTAATCCTAATGTACCACGCGTTTAGCGCGTAAGAATCTGCGAATTGGTCAGATTCTGCAGACATCCTATTACCATATAGCAGCTTGTGTCGCTGAGTTTGTGACTTTGCGGTAATAACAACGCATCAAATTAGAGATTGCTAAAATCTTTGCGCTTTTTGACTCTGCTAGTTCGTGGGACAGAGACAGACATTCTTTTACAACCCTATGCTTATGTTGCTAACTGCTCTATATTTTTGGTTACTATATATGGGGAATGATGCATATGTAGAATTCATGGTTTTTCAAATAACATTGGACGATTCTATTTTTTTCAATCCATAGATTCCACTTAATTATATATTATACTTAATAAATAAAGTTTAAGATCCCCTATTTACTTTTAATAGATAAATAAAATTTAATAATTAAACATGTCATGTTGGAACCAAATCTAACAGAAGAGAGAATCTAACCACACATGGTTAGAGATGGTGCGTACGAATTGAATAAAAATAAAAATATCATAAACATAATATTTACATGTGACAAAATTAAAATTATTAATATAAATGTTGTGTTTTGATATTAATTAACAATATAATACATCATAGTATATAAATTTAATTTATACTGTATATTGATGCATCACATTATCATTGAAGCTAATGCTTTACATTATTGTCAATGTAGAACTATGACATTGACATTAATAGTTAATTTTTTATAGGGCTAAAAGGCCTATTAATAAAGCAAACTTAATGTGTAACATTTTTTCATCAATTGACATTTCCTATAGTGATTTAGGTCCGGTAAATTTCATTCAAATGTATTAATTAAAAAGACCCATTGATATAAATTCTACACTTTTTTTTTTTGCATCACAAGAATTCTACACGTGTTTAAAAATATATTAAAATGAAATATTCACGTACCAAAAGTTTCTATAACAAAATTCACAAGTAATATTAATTAATTAAATATTTATGTTCAAATATAAGTATGTATAGATAAATGTATTATAAACGATTATATTTGTTAGGTCAAATTAGTGGGAACAAATTTGATGTAACATGTGACAGTGAAAATTTAACAGTACTATTGGGTTTAACAGAAGTTCAACATTTTTCAATTTTCACCCACCTAAAATACCATCAACATAAAAGTCATCATAAACATGGTGATGACGCTGATCTCGAATATTACTATGATCTTAAGGTTTCTATGTTTATTTGTTCGGAGTGACCATTTTGTCGTCTTTTGATGCTCTTTCTCCGCGTCTCTGCCACCAAAACCGCAAAATAATTTGACAAAGTTAACACTTTACACAGTCCATTCTCTTGAATGATATTAAGTACATTCTTACACATTATAACAAAATCATTTTCTCTCTCTCTCACCTGACCCAACGTTTGTCGTTGGTGAAATCAATTAAGAAAAGGACACACTTGCTCACATGCAAAAATATGATCATTTTTTTAACGATATAACAACTAACAGATTCTCTATGGAGAGTTGGAAGTCACTAAACTCAAGGAGGATTTGTTTAAGTTATACTATTCAAAAAATTTATACTACATGGATTTGGAAGCTGAGATTTGAATCTCCATTGGGAATATATATTTAATCATTCATGAATTATATATATAACCGCTGCAATTTCTTGAAGTACTAAATTTGTTCAGTGAAGCTATCTCTAGCTAGGTTTGGCTGCGCAAGATGAAACATCAAAATCATTTTTCTAAAAAGAAAAAAACTAAAACATCGTTGTTCAGTGAAGCCATCTCTAGGTTTGGCTGCGCAAGATGAGACATCGCAATCATATTTTTCTAAAAAAAATATAAAAGAAATTAAACAATGTCTGGGTTTTGGAGAAATAGGAACTGCCCTAGAATATTTATTCTGTTCATGAGTGGAATAGAAAATTCCAAATTCGAATCACATTTCCAACAATATGACAAGAGCCACCTTTTGAGTTTTTAGGAGGTCGTTAGAGTTTGTCCCAAACTGGGGTCTCTAAATAGTTCTTCTCCTGCTTGTTGGTTAAATAATTACATGAGTATAATTAACTCTGAAGTAATCATTGAAACCAAGCAACGCCTAATTGAAATTGTTTCTATGGTTGTTGAACATAGAAAATATATAGGTTTACTATTTAAATCATAGTGTATCTGTTTAAATCCTTTGTTTACACTCCACATATGGTAAAGAAAAGATACATGCAATTTGTCATATGCATGTCATGTACATTAGTCAACAAATTAAGTGCCTTACTTTGTGTTGGTTTAAAATAAGAAGTTTAATTTAGTACTAAAGTTATCAATCTCTCACATAAAATATGAAGTTTGATGCAGCAGTATTTTGAATTGTTTTCTTTTCATACGCTTAATAAGTCCCAAAGAATGCTAATAATTAAACATCTGAAATCACAAGTCTCACATGATCAGAATGAAACTCAGTGTAGGACTTAAAATTGGCTCTCTTGTGTGTTTAGAGAAGCTTTTTAAAATTTCATTTATCTAAGGTTTTAGGTGTATCCGAAAGTAAACATTGTTCACAGTCGGTGAAACAAAATAAAAGCTTTCAAAGTTGCAATAATCTTGGATGATGAGAGTAAGAAAAAGCTTTCAAAGTAAACATTTACTCACATTGATTAGAACAAAAAGCTCAATGTATGATTCAAACATTAAACTCTCTCCTATTGTGTGTTTAGAGAAGCTTTTCGTTTTCTCATTTATCTAAGGTTTTACCTGCGTGACAAAGTAAACATTGTCCATAGTCCATGAAACAAAATAAAAACTTTCAAAGCAGCTATAATCTTGGATGATGAGAAAAAAGTGTTTTCATGAGACAAAATTAAACAAAACAAAACGAGAGAGAGAAAGGTGGTTTTACATTACGAATAAAATAACCACACTAAGTTGCAAGATAAATCTTTTTAGAGAATTATATTAAAAGGCATAATGGTATTAACATCAAGGAAAAGTTCCTGTAGTCGTTACAAGAACTTTCTAAAAGGAAAAGAAAATAACGGAAAATCTAATTTTTAATGGAAGAAAAATCACCCTTTTCCACTACAAAACATAAATGAGGAATGTATACAATAAGAAAGACAGCCTATGTTTATTAATTTTTCTTTGACCATGCCACCACTCTTGCTTTACTATCCATTCACAAGGAAATTCCAGAATCTCTTAAAGAACAGTACAAGTGAGCTTAATTTAACTATGTAACCAAATGATTCATGATTTTGATTAATTAAAATGATCGGCCAAAATTTGACTCATATAAAACCCACTGAGATATTCAGAATCCATGATTTGGGAATTTTCTATTATCATTGCTTCACATTTCCTTCTACATCGTTCGTTAATTGTGTGAAGATGAAACCTTAGTTAATCCAGCACTCTTCATCTCATCTCCATTAGAAAAAGAAAAGAAAAAAAAAAGATTATATTTTCCATAGATATATGTGGCAATCAAGTGGTAACCAAATGATCAGAATTCAGATATAATTGATCAGCTACTGCAATATCCATTCTTTTGAACTCATAATTTCACTATAGTAAACCTTCCCATACAAAGCAACCTAAACCTAATAAAAGGAAAGAGAAAGAAGACGAAACAACACCATATAAAGATTAAAAGTGGGGAAAAATAGAAGAACTAACATCTCTAGGGTTTTCATTTAATCATAAAGAAAGCAAAGTACTTAACCATCCTCGAAGCCTTTCACTGGGGCTAATTATAACCGAGTAGGTTGAAACTTTGTGAAAGGAAACAGAAGAACCAAAAGCCAGAAACTTCACAAGAGAGCAGAAAATTCTATAGTGCGTTACTAGTAGTGGAAGAAGAGCTAAAAGCAGAAAGATCGGTCCAAGCAGAAGTGGCACCACCACCACCACTCCAATATTGCTCATTTGCATTAGGATTATTATTGACTGATCCCAAGAACTGTCTAGGCAAACCAAGCTCATGATGATGATGATTCTCTTCCATTTTCACAGAAGCAAGTTGAGACATAACCCCAGAAGTTGAAACCTTAATGGGAGTGCCACCATAGCCATCACTGCCACTACCACCTTCAAAAGGGTACAATCCATGTGATGAAGAAGCTTCCAAACCAGACAAGAAGGGAAACTGGTGAGTTTGTGGCACCCTCCATTGGTCCAAACCTGACAACATGGATCCACCTCCACTCAAAGCACTTCCTATGTGGAAATTCAAGTCTCCTATTCCTCCCACTGGACCCGAAATTGCGCCATAGTTCAAGCCATAGTTTAGCCCTATTTCTCCACCCCCACCACCCCCAAGGTGGTGATCACTGAGTTGATGCAATGGAGCCATGAATCTAAGAGACGACGGCACTCCGGTGCCGCCGAGGCCGGCCACCATGTCTGCGGAAGAGGAGCCACTAGTTGTGGATGCCGAACCGGCGCTCGCAGTTTGGCGATCGGAGTTTGCCGGCGACCTGGTGTTGCTGCCGGAGGTGCCTCTGCTTCTCTTGTTCCTCCGGCAGCCACCGCCGACGGGGACGTTCCTCAAGGCGCCACCGCGTGTCCAGTACCTTCTACAGGCCTTGCAGAAGTGGCGGGGCTGAGAGAGGCTGTAGTTGTTGAAGTAGCAAAACTTTGTGTTGGTGGATTCACATCTTGGACACTTTTGTGGAGCTTCTTGCATGGGTATGTTGGCCATCCTAGCCCTATCCGCCATCGAACCTGGCCTGATGGACCCGGCGGTAGTACTATTACCGCCGAGTCCATGAGGCTGCGATGGCGGAGGTGGAGGTGGTTGTATTGGTGGTGGAAGAATAAGGTGGGAACTGGCAGTAGTGTTGTTGCCTGGCTGCTGGTGATTTGGTTGCTGCAGTAACATAAAGTTGGAGGAGCAAAGAAATCAAATATGTGGTATATTCAGGAGATAGAAGGGTATAACAAAAGTGTAGGAAGAATATCTATCTTTTAAATTTTGCCTTTTGGACAAAGAAATTAAATGAGAAAGAACCAAATTGAAGAACCCTTCAATTTTTTACCTGTTGCTGCCAGTTGGCTGGATCAATATATGCTGGGATGGAAGTATAAACCATGGTTCCTCTTGGAGCTTTCTCTTTTGTAAAGGTTGATGGTTTAATTTTTTTGGGAGGTAATAGTGGAGAGAATCACATCAAACAGTTAGAGAGTGAGTGTGTGTGGTTGAGCTGAGCATAGAGGAGAGAAAGAAAAAGAGAGAAAGCAAAAAGAAGGAAAGAAGAGAGGGGGAGGGTTTGGGAGAGGAAGTAATGAGAAGCAAAAATAAAGGAGGTGCTTTTGAGTATTTATATATAATTTTAGTTTCTTGTTCATTTCCCCCGATAGCACTCTTTTTGTTTTATTGCTTTTCAGGATTTTGAGAAGGCGATGTTTCTTAACCCATAAGCTTCTTTTTGATGCTCTGTAATACTGTGCTTAGAAAAAGAGATATTGTTAGTGCCTCTCATCCCTCCTTCTGCATGAAAAAAGCTAAGTATTGAGTCTGATATGTCATATTACAATAGAGAGAGAAAGGGAGTGTGTGCTGACCAGCCTAGCTATACATGCTAGCAATTTGGTGTGGAATGGCCAAAGCTAACTTTAATTATGATTCTATTATAAAATATAACATTTATTTATTGGTGAATGAATGATAGATTATGGTAAAGAATAATGTGGTTCTTATGTTAATTTATTTTTTTTATATTGGGTTGAAGAAAAAAGAAAAGGTGTTCATTTGTGCTTTAGTGTGTCCCGACCGAGTGAACCTTTTCTTGGTCAGGTCTGTTCCCTTCCCCACACCTCTTTCTTTTTGCATGGAAACATTTACCATTGAAACTCACGCGCCACAACATTAGCATATGAGTCAAACTCATAGAGTGGAATGTGGCAGATATTGGGTTACATAGTTAGAGGGAAGGGAAGGGAAGGGCCCCCAAAGTAACTATTTACAAAGTGTTTCTAATGGATAATAATAAATGATTGCTCCAATGTTGTCCAAAGAAAAGAAAACACGTATATAAAAGATTTGGGAAATGAATTGTGTAATATAAGGATATGGATTATACTGAAGAGTGTCTCAACTTAGGACCTCCTTCCTGGGATTTTTTTGGGGACATCAAAATCTGGATATCGTCACATCATGTATATATATATATACGGCTGTTATAGGAAATTAAGAAAATAGGAATTGAGATTTTTAACCATGAAAAATATTATATTTCCTCGATTGTTGTTATCAGAATTGGTGACTTGAATTGTTGACCCGGTTCGGAAAGCTCTTTTAGAATATTTTTGGGGGTCTGTGGTGCCGGAGGTCCCGGGCCTTTATGTTTTTGAATTAGGGTTTTAGAAGCATCCATTTAATAGTATTTTATAGCTACTTTTTTTTATTTATTTTATTATTACTAAATGTTTGAAGGTTGAGTTTGTAAATGAAGTGGCTAAGTTCCTAGAATTTGTTATTAGTAAAGAGAAATTTCATAACAAAGACAATGTTATGAAATGTCCTTGTATCAAATGCAAATGTAAAAGAAGTTATTATTCTGTTTTTAGCATATCATACTGACCTAGTCATATTTTATTTAGTTTCCACTATATATACACTATAAGTTTATTTGATGAGATCATCTAAGTTTTTTGGGATGGTCTAGTTCATTATTATAAATTGTGTAATCAATATATTGTTAATTTTTATATTTATTAACAATTTTAAATTTATAATTTTAAAAAAATTAAAAAATAATGGTTAAAATTAGCAACCAAATCCACTATATATACACTAGAAGTTCCTAAAACTTTCAGGAATGTGAAAGAAGTTATTATTCTGTTTTTAGCATATCATATTGATCTAATTATATTTTATTTAGTTTCCACTATATATACACTATAAGTTTATTTGATGAGATCATCTAATTTTTTTAGGATGGTCTAGTTCATTATTATAAATTGTGTAATCAATATATTGTTAATTTTTATATTTATTAACAATTTTAAATTTATAATTTTAAAAAAAATTAAAAAAATAATGGTTAAAATTAGCAACCAAATCATTTTATAGCAATTTTAAGTTTTTTTTTTGCAACCGATTTAGCGACTAAAATTATATGACAATGAAAATAATTGTTAAAATATATGTTTTATTTAGTGACAGAAATACCTTTTGTATTTTGCGACCGAATTAGAGACCAAATTTAAATAATTTTTTAAAAAATAAAAATTTGTTGGCGATTGAAATTGCAATCACAAAATTCGGTTTCAAGATTGGTCTCTGGAAGCTAGACGACCAATACTACAGCGACTGATTTTGTAGTTCTAGCAATGTTTGTATTCGGTCGCTAACTTGCGACAAAAACTATTTCAGTCACTATTAGTAATACCGACAAGGGTTTTAGCGAAAAAATTTTATTAGTCTCTAATTTGGTTGCTGAGCGTAATATAGCGACTAAAATAGACTAAATAGTGACGGATCTTGGGATTTCTTTCTTCCTTTCCTTATTTCTAGAATATTCAAGGTAAGGGAACCTTGTAGTTTAATCTCCTTGTGTTGAATATGTTGATTTTGTCGTGTTGATCATGTCTTGGATGGTATTGTTATTGAATTGGAAAGATTGAACCTTGTTGTTCTATGTTTTTGGGTTTCTTAGTTGTTGGAAGAAGAATGAGTGATCTTGAGATGTATTCTTGTTGCATGTTGTATTTCTTGTGAAATATTGGTTGTATAAGTTGTACAAATGTTAATTTGATAGTTGCATGTTGAATTAGAGAGGAAATTGATTAGTTTTGAGATTAAAATGAGTTGTTCTTGGGTGAAAAACATGTTCTCAGCCATCAAGAGTTTATGGCACCCAATGCTCATTCATGTTTTGATGAACATCTACCAAGAATCATGATCTTGCTCAACTTGGGTGTTATCTAAGTGGTGATATCTGAGTAATCGTTTAAGCATTAATATTTGAGTATCCAAGGCTCCTAAGCTGTCTTGAGTTGGTGATAATGAGGAGATTGGTACTACATGCATATAGAGTCCAGTATATGCATTTGCACAAGTCTTATTTTATAATTGAGATATTTTGTATCAGATGAATGATTGTTGTTTATGAATGAATGTAAAGTAATAGATGTATTGTGTTGAGTGTGACTTTGAATGATATGAGTGAAAATAACAATATGGATGAAAGCATGATTATGATGTATATATGTCTTTAGTACTATCCTTATGTCTTATATGTGTCGTACATGGATGATATATATGGTCACTCCCTATGTTTGTTGTTGTGAGTGTTTGGGTTGATCGTCATTTGCAAGACTAGAGCAAGTATAAGAGGATGAGTATGATGCCCAAAAAGAGTTGAGAATCATGATTCTTGGAAATTATAAATCTTGAGAATCATGATTCTTATGAATTATGAAAATATGTTTGATTAGTCAAAATGCTTCTAAGAATATTTTTAAATGTTACTTGAGAATCATGGATTTTTACTGCATTAAATAAGAAAATAAAGGTAACATGATATTTTTACCATATTAAACTTTTATTTTTTACCTCAAAAAGGTTAGTTTCTCACCTCTCCATGGGAATAATTTCATGAAAAATTTATACAAAATCCATTCTCAGAAAACGTTTCCTAGTAATGTTATTTTTTAAATAAAAAACCAAACGCAAAAAACTAACATTCTTGATGTTTGATATTCAAAAAAGTATAAACTTTTTCTGTACTATACGCCCTAATAGAGTTATGTTGAAATGATTTTTTATAATACCTTTGAAAATTTGTTGCTTGTTTTAAAAATCTTTATTTACAATGCTTTGGAGTAGAAGGGTGTAACATTTAGTGATAGCAAAGCAAGTTGGTTCATTTGGCCAATGTATTATGAGAGTTTGTCATGTTTTTGTGTGCACTTTAAACTTCTATTTGATGTCGAGTGTTTTGAGTTGTAAGTACTTTAATTTTTGTTAATCAAAAAAGTAATGATTGGGAGGAATAATTGTGTGTTAGTTGATGTCTTGCAGACAATAGTCCAAGTGGTGAGGAATGCAAACACTATTAGGACCGATTAGTTGTCTAGTTTTCACTAGAACGGTTCACCTACCTTTAGAGGTGGATATGATCTTCATGGGGATATAGAATGGATCTTCAAGATGGAGAAGTAAGTCACAAGATAGATTTGATGGGATCCATCCAAGATAAGTAAGTCAAAGTGAGGATATAGAATTATAATACAATCTCATAAAATTATCTCATAGTATAATTATCAACTAAATTATACTTTTAGTTCTTTATTTTATTTTTTATATATTTATTTTGGTCCTTTTTATATATTAAAATGTTCATTTTGATCCTTTCTCTTTTATATTTGAATCATTTTAGTTCTTTAAAACAATGATCATTTTCAATTTTGAAACATAATTTTAAATCAATTTTGAATTGATCAAGACGTAAGACTTTTAATATTAGATTCATCAAGATGAAAATTATGAAATGCAATTGATGTTCGAATCCAAAAAGCCATATACATAGTGAAAATCCTATGAATAATATATCCCTTGAAAAAATAAAAAATAATATAAAATTAAAATTTTGAAAATTTTATTTTCACCATGTTTATAACATTTTTAATTTCAATTGTACTCAATAGTCTTCATATAAATGAATTTTATAAGACAAGTTTTAAGTTTTGAAGTAGTCAAAAAATGATTTAGAAAGACTAAATTGACATAAATTTAGAAGTTAAAAAACTAAAATGAACATTTTCAAAGATAAAAAATTAAAATAAATCTAAAAATAAAATATGACTAAAGATATAATTTAGTCTATAATCATCTATTAATTTACATAGTATACATTGTTATTCAATATAATTATTAAGATATTTAGATATTTAATTTTATAGTTATTTTGTAAAAAAAAATTTAAATTTATAATATTATTAATTAAAAATAACTAATTTGACTATTTTATTATTCTTAATTAATCAATTAGTAAAAATATTCTTACATTATCATTCCATCACAAAATTACTGTATAAAATAATTTTGTTACCTTTTATACTAATCAACCAATCATATTTATCATAAATTTAGATTAATTGATAATACGATTATTTTTTTTTATATTGCTCATATATAGAAATTAAACTATAAAAAACAGAAAAGAGTATTATATTATAATCAGTCAAAGGAAAGTAGATTGCATTTGGAGTCAGAAAGCCTACAAGCTTCAGATTTGGGCCGGGGTCTCTGCCAAAGCCCAACTTTAAGTTTGACCCATCATATTCTGACCCA